TTGCTCAAAAGCCAGTCGAATCTGACTCTAGGGGGCGGTGCTCATCTCCATTTCTAAGCCGAAGAGCAACTTACCTGGCTGCTTCTTGCTCTGACTGAGGGCTGCTGGGAGCAGGGGGTGGGGCTTGTTGCATGTGCCCGCCCCTTGGGCTCTTTACTGCCGGAGCTCCGCTCCTGTGCGCTCCTGCAGGAAATGACCCCTGGGCGCAGGCACCCTGACAAGATCATCTGGGGTCTGAGTCTGTTCTCCAGTGTCCTTCGGGTGCAGCCTGGCACTTTGCCCCACCGACCGAGCAGGGGTTGCCTCTCCCCCCCCCCCCCTTTCCGGGCGCTGACCGTCATGGGGGGGGGGGGGCTGTGTTTGTCTCAAAGGTATCGCCGTCTTCGGTTACTCCATGGCAGTCTCGGTGGGAGGGATCTTGGCCTCCCGCCGCCTCCACGTCGACTTGCTCCACAACGTCCTGCGCTGCCCCATGAGCTTCTTCGAGCGGACGCCCAGCGGCAACCTGGTGAACCGCTTCTCCAAGGAGATCGACACCATCGACTCCACCATCCCCCAGGTCATCAAGATGTTCATGGGCTCCCTCTTCAACGTCATCGGGGCCTGCATCATCATCCTCCTGGCCACCCCCATCGCCGCCGTGGTCATCCCTCCGCTGGGCTTCGTCTACTTCTTCGTGCAGGTGTGTGGGGGGGAAGCGCCTGGCTCGGGACCCCCAGACTGACCGGTGGCCCTTCCCATGTCCTCCCTCCAATCTCCCGGAGCTGAAGTCTCATCTACAGATCCTAAAGCTTGACCCAGTATCAAACCGTTTCCTTGGGGGGGGGCATGGCTCAGTGGCAGAGCCTCTGCTTGGCGTGCAGAAGGTCCCAGGTTCAGTCCCCGGCATCCCCAGTTAAAAAGGCCCAGGCAGGAGGTGATGGGAAAGACCTCTCTGCCTGAGACCCTGGAGAGCTGTCAAGAGGGGCCGTGGCTCAGTGGTAGAGCCGTGACTTGGCATGCAGAAGGTCCCTGGTTCAATCCCCAGCGGCATCTCCAGTTAAAAGGACCAGGCAGGAGGCGATGGGAAAGACCTCTCTGCCTGAGACCCTGGAGAGCTGTCAAGAGGGGCCGTGGCTCAGTGGTAGAGCCGTGACTTGGCATGCAGAAGGTCCCTGGTTCAATCCCCAGCGGCATCTCCAGTTAAAAGGACCAGGCAGGAGGCGATGGGAAAGACCTCTCTGCCTGAGACCCTGGAGAGCTGTCAAGAGGGGCCGTGGCTCAGTGGTAGAGCCGTGACTTGGCATGCAGAAGGTCCCTGGTTCAATCCCCAGCGGCATCTCCAGTTAAAAGGACCAGGCAGGAGGCGATGGGAAAGACCTCTCTGCCTGAGACCCTGGAGACCTGCTGAGTAGACAATACTCACTTTGATGGACCCAGAGTCTGATATGGTATCAGGCATATTCTTGTGTTATGTGGAGGAGACTATAAGAGAGAACACATCCTTAGTTCAGGCATACCATGATTTCCCCCCCCCCCCCCGGCCTTAACACCACAGTCTTGAGGACTAGATGCTTTGTTTTTTAAGGTTCATAGGGTTTCACCAGGATCCCATGGCATTCTGGGCCGCCTTGACTCCCTTTCCCTGTTGTCCTGGTCCGCCCTGGCGTCCGTGCGCCTCTTTCCTCCCTGACCCTTGGCTCTGGCCCTCCCTCCCCAGCGCTTCTACGTCGCCACTTCCCGCCAGCTGAAGCGCCTGGAGTCGGTCAGCCGCTCCCCGGTCTACTCGCACTTCAACGAGACGCTCCTGGGCGTCAGCGTCATCCGGGCCTTCGAGGAGCAGCAGCGCTTCATCCAGCAGAGCGACCTGAAGGTGGACGAGAACCAGAAGGCCTACTTCCCCAGCATCGTCGCCAACAGGTGGGTGGGTGGATGCGTGCGCCACGGCCGTCGCCCAGAGCGGCTGCCGACAGACCCCCGTAGCCCTGCACCCCCTGGCCTTACCTCCCACGGGTTTGGAGGGAAGGGAGTTTTTGTCATCCTCTGGATCCCATCCAGTGCTCCCTTTAAGCCGTGGAGTTTCGTGAGCAAAAATTCTACTCGGTGAGCTACCAGCATTCAAGTTGTGAGCAAGCGATTTGCCAGCTGCATAGATTAGTTCAGGGCTCTTTTTGTAGAAAAAGCCCAGCAGGAACTCATTAGCATAATAGGCCACACCCAACAGTAGAAACTCATTAGCATATTAGGCCACACCCCTGACAGCACTGCTTATTAGCACATTAGGCCACACACCCATGTTACCAGCAGTGTGGTCATCCAGCCACACCCACCTTTTGCTTCTTATTCTGTTTACCTTGTTTGTGGTCAAAACCCAGGGCCTTTTTTGTAGCAGGGACTCCTTTGCGTGCTAGGCCACACACCCCTAATGTAGCCAGTCCTAATGAGTTCCTGCTGTTGGGTGTGCCCTATTATGCTAATGAGTTCCTGCTGGGCGTGGCCAACTCAGGAGCCAGCTGGAACTCCGTTCCTGTGCGTTCCTGCCCAAAAATAGCCCTGGATTAGTTTGCTCATGATTCCCTTCCAAGTCCCTACACAGCCTGGGGCACTAGTAGAACCACTTTATTCTGTATCAGTCTGCCCACTGGTTGAGATTGTAATTTAAAGCTCTGCAACGTGGGCCATCTAAAGAGAGGGGAATGGCTATCTAAAGGAGAGGGGAGGGGGTTATGGAGCTGCAGCCTTACTGTGGAACACCCTCCCCAAGGACAAATTTTAAGGATCCAGTAAAAAATATTTTCCATTCCTCCAGGCTTTCTGCTAACATTGTGTTTGTACTTTGCTGAAATCGTTTTACTGCAAAGTATTTTAATTGCTGAAGTATTTTAACTGCGTTTTAGCTACCTGAGTTGATTTGTTCTTTGTAATTTTATAATGCTGCTTTTATTGTATTTCATTGTTTTAGTGGTTTTGATGGACTTTACTGTTTATTAATCTAAAAAAAAAGAACTGTTTAATATCTGGGAGGGGAAAAAAGATTAGTTTGCTCCACAGCCATCTTTCCTGAGCTAAGGCAAAATGTGTGTTGCAACCGAGACAAAACATAATAAGAATATAATAAGAACATAGATAGCAATATGTGCAAAAGTTTAAACTGATATGTTAAGGTGTAGAAATTTACTTTTGTTTGGAGGGAGAGAAAATTAATGAATTGATTCCCCCATTGTATGTTTGTTTGTTACATTTATTTAGTTAATTTGATGTAGAACCTAATTATTCGTCTTTTGGGCGGTCCACGGTACCCATAAAACTCCCCTCCAACGCCACATCTCAGAAGCAGTGTTCCCTCTGAGCTGAGTTAGTGTGAGCTAGCTCCCAGTTTTTTAGCCCCCGGCTCACACATTTCTGTCTTCGCTCAGGAAGGATGTGGCTCCGGAGCAGACTAAGTTTGGTGTCGTGGTGAAGTGCGCGAACTCTAATCTGGGAGAACTGGGTTTGATTCCCCACTCCTCCACTTGCACCTGGCTGGATGACCTTGGGCAAGCCACAGTTCTGATAAAAGCTGTCCCTGAAAAAGAGCAGTTTCTGTCAAGAGCTCTCTCAGCCCCACCTACCTCACAGAGGGTGTCTGTTGTGGGGAGGGGGAGGGAAAAGGAGTTTGTGAGCCGCTCTGAGACTCCCTGTGGTAGTGAAGGGCGGGGTATAAATCCAATCTCTTCTTCTTCTTCTAAGTTATACAGTAGCCAAATCGCTCACTCACAACTTTAATGCCAGGAGCTCACAGAGGAGAATTTTTTCTCACAAGCCTCCACAGCTTAGAGGGAACATTGCTCACAGGGTGTCTGTTGTGGGGAGGGGAAGGGAAAGGAGTTTGTGAGCCGCTCTGAGACTCCCTTGGGTAGTGAAGGGCTATGGGGTATAAATCCAATCTCGTCTTCTTCTTCTAAGTTATGCGGGAGCCAAATCGCTCGCTCACAACTTTAATGCCAGGAGCTCACAGAGGAGAATTTTTGCTCGCAAGACCCCACAGCTTAGCGGGAGCATTGCTCAGAAGTATCTTTCTTTCCTCATTGTCCGACTTTCACACCCAGAGCTAGTAAGCGGGGAATACCATGGCAGGAATGATCTTGACCTTGGTCACCCGGTGACACATCCCGGCCCTTAAAGAACTTTCGCTCCTGCCTGGCTGCCCTTCCCAGCAGTGGTTCCTGTTCTCTGGCCTCGGGAGCCTCCGGAAACCCTTTTGAAGATATTTCCAGAGGGGAGCCCCGTTGATCTGCAGCAGGGGAGCAAGATTTTGAGTCCAGCAGCTCCTTTGCGACCGACAAGATTTTGGGGGTACGGAATTTCGAGAGTCCAGACTCTCCCCTTCACCTGATACAAACGGAGCTCCGACTCTCGAAAACTCACCCCCCGAAAATCGTCTTGGTCTCTAAGGTGTCTGCTGGACTCGACTCTAGATGTAGAAACCTCTGTTGGTCCCCCACACACACACACTCCTGCAGGAATCTTAAAAGAAACAGCAGGAGCCTGTTCCTTCTCCTCCCCTTTCCCTGTCCTTGGGTTTTGTTCTGTCTTGTGGACTCAAACAGTCTACAGGGGGCAGATCTGCCTTGCAGGGTGTGATTGGGGACTCGGAACAGTTGTGGAAGTTCCCTGGGCAGATGCTTTGCATATTTCACTTGAAGAAGAACACAAGAGAAGCCAATGTTGGGTCAGGCCAATGGCCCACCCAGTCCAGCACTCTGTGTCACACAGTGGCCAAAAATGCCAGGTGCCCTCAGGAGGTCCAGCAGCCCTCCCACTATTGACCCCCCCCCCCCAAGCACCAAGAATACAGAGCATCCCTTGCCCCAGACTGAGAGTTCCTATCTATACCTTGTGGCTAATAGGCACCGATGGACCTCTACTCCATGTTTATCCAGTTCCCTCTTGAAGCTGTCTATGCTTGTAGCCGCCACCACCTCCTGTGGCAGTGAATTCCATGTGTTAATCACTCTTTGGGTGAAGAAGGTCTTCCTTTTATCCGTTCTAACCCGACTGCTGAGCAATGTCATGGAGTGCCCATGAGTTCTCTTTCTCTACCTGCTCTATCCAGAGATTGGATTGATACCCCGCCCCTCACTTGGAGTCTCAGAGCGGCTTTCCTTTCCCCTCCCCACAACAGACACCCTGTGAGGCAGGTGGGGCTGAGAGAGCTCTTTCAAGGACTGCCCTTGAGAGAACAGCTCTAAGAGAACTTGTGACTGACCCAAGGTCACACCAGCAGCTGCATGTGGAGTAGGGGGGAATCAAACCCGGTTCTCCCAGCCGAGAGTCCGCGCTCCTCACCACGGCACCAGACTGGCTCTCCTTGGCCCCTTCTACTCAAGGGTATTGGAGAAGAACTTCCTTTGTGTGGGACTCCAGAGAGCTGCTGCTGCCTCCAGCGACAGTGGCCGGTATATCTTGAGCTGGGATCCCCCCTAACTGCTTGTTCCTCTCCTGCAGGTGGCTGGCCGTGCGCCTGGAGTACGTGGGGAACTGCATCGTCCTCTTTGCCGCTCTCTTTGCAGTGGTGGCGCGCCACAGCCTCAGCCCAGGCCTGGTGGGACTCTCCATCCTCTACGCGCTGCAGGTAGCGAAGACGGGACCGCCTTGTCCTTCAGAACTCCTCGTGCCAAGGAATTCCCTAATCTTCCTTTTGGGCGTGACCTCTGGGAATGGCTACAGCTTTTGCAAATCAGAAAGTATTGGGATGATAATCCGGTGGGCCCGTGAGACAGGGCCTTTTTTGTGGCATCCCCCCAATTAGGGAACAACCTCCCCAGGGAAGGGTGTGCCTGGCTCCAACTGTCTTTCTTCAGGAGGCAGTTGAAGCACGGAGATCTTTAGCACCCCGTAGAATGTTCTTAAGGAGCTGCGGTGGCTCAAGTGGTTGAGATGCTGAACTGCAGGCTGTAGAAGGTCGGTAGTTCAGCAGTTCGAGACCCGAGTGTGCCTCAAGACGGAGTGAGCTCCCGTCTCTAGTTCCAGTTCCTGCCAACCTAGCAGTTCGAGAGCAAGAAATTGCAAGTAGATAAATAGGTACCACTTCAGTGGGAAGGTAACAGCATTCCGTGCGTGGCCTTGGTGTTTAGTCATGCCGGCCACATGTCCACGGAAACGCCTTCGGACAGCGCTGGCTCTTCGGCTTTGAAACGGAGATGAGCACCGCAACCCTAGAGTCGGATTCGACTGGCTTTCGAGCAAGGGAACCTTTACCTTTACTAGAATGCTCTTAAGTCTGTGTCAGATGGTCTCATCCAGGAATAGGACCAAAACATTGCTATCTTTATCAAAATGTATTCAGGCGATCACCGTGTCGGTCTGAAGCAACACGACAAGGTTTGAGTCCAATGGCACCTTTAAGACCCACAAAGTCGAATTCTGGGTATAAGCTTTTATGTGCATGCGGCACATCTTCAGATACCACGCGAAAGCTTATACCCAGGATTAAACTTTGTGTGTCTTAAAGGTGTGCCTGCACGTGAAAGCTTATACCCAGGATCAAACTTTATTGGACTTCAAGGTGTGCATGCATGCAAAGCTTATACCCAGGATCAAAGTGGACTTGAACTTTTTTGCTCCTTTGCTTCAGGCCAGCACGGCGCCCCGCCTGAATCTATTCAAGAGAGGCTTTTCCGTGCAGGCAATAGAGGTGAACGGCACAAAATGGTTTTACAAACTTGCTTGGATAAATGATCAGGGACTGCGGGCTATACTGCCGTGTTTCACTTATTGTAAGCAGGATCCTATTTGTTTATTTTCTGTACCGCTGAATGGTCCGTGTGAATACGCCTGTAGTGCTTGAGTTCTTTCGGGTGGTTCCGGACATCTAATGTCCCAATGCACCGGTTACGGAACATTCCGTTTTGTCAATCATACTGACTCCCTCTGTGTCCTCCCCCTCAAGTCCCTGTGAGAAAGGCGGGCTATAAACAACATAACGAGAATAAAAATGAAACGCCTGCCGCGCAGTCTCTGGATTGGCATCTTCTGTTTTCTCCTTTCCGTAGATCACCACCTATTTGAATTGGCTGGTTCGCATGTCGTCTGAGATGGAAACAAACATCGTCGCCGTGGAAAGAGTCAAAGAATACTCCGAAAAGGAAAAAGAGGTATGTTTAAGAGGACTCTGATCTGGGAGGCTTGGCTGTGATTCCCGGTTTTGGAACTGGGACGTGGCAAAGGCTCTCCCCGACATGGGGACGTTGAGCTGCGTTTTCTCAAAGGCCTCTGAGCTCCCTCAAGTGGCCAAATGCAGTTACTGCTGCTCTTTTCTGGATCGCTGCATCTGTGTGTGTGTGTGTGTGTGTGTGCCTGGTTTGTTTCTATCCCGCCCTCCCTGCGAACGGGCTCAGGGCAGCTCACAGTTTAGGGCACCAATTGCCAAATATAAAAACAGATCAGACAAGATGGTTGCCATAAAATCGCTTGAACGGGTCTTTCCAGTCTTTAGACAAGCAGGCAGCATTCAGGTGTTAGTTTTCCAAGGCTTGGAACTGATGAGATTGGGTTTGCCTGGGCTAAATAATGCAGTCCATTCCACACAGTAAAATCCAACTGCAAACAGTGTTCCCTCTAAGCTGAGTGAGTGTGAGCTAGCTCAGTTTTTTAGCCTCCGGCTCACGCATTTTTGTCTTCGCTCGTGACGGATGGCTCCAGAGCAAACTGATTTATTCAGCAGCCAAATTGCTCGCTCACAACTTTAATGCCAGTTGCTCGAAAGTAGAATTTTTGCTCACGAGGCTCCACAGCTTAGAGGGAGCATTGATTGCAAAGTGGATTGGAAGTGCGTTTAGTGCGTGTGAGAGCGCCCAGACATGATGTGAACATTGCAGACCTGGGAACTTGCTTCCCTTAAATGTTCTGGAATCCCCCTCCCCCTTTGCAGACCAAGTCAAGATGCTTGAAGGGGGGACCTGTGTTGATCCTAATTGTCATGTCTCGTTGTTTTTGCTAACAAGAATAAGAATTAGAACTTCAGCATTTCAGTCATGGCAGACTGTGCCTCTCTCAGGTTTTTAATAATCGTATGCTTTTATGTACCTGTATTTGAAAGCTTATGAAGACGTGAGCTTTCAAAGGTAATACATTTCAATTAAGCACACATTTACCAACCATTCTGAATTCCAAGCGTCCGCCTTCAATCCAAGTAGATGAGGTGAGTTGCGGAAAACTCCCATGTGTGTAAGAAGAGGGTGCATACTTACCGTCACCTAAATCTAGGTTGTTGGTATATAAAATGATAAAACTATGCCAAACAAATGAAGCTGCCATATACTGAATAAGGCCTGGGTCCATCAAAGTCAGCATTGTCTACTCAAACTGGCAGCAGCTCTCCAGGGTCTCAGGCGGAGGACTTTCACATCACCAAACTGCCTGGTCCTTTTTAACTGCGCCACAGCCCCTCTTTACAGCTCTCCGGGGTCTCAGGTGGAGAAAGGTCTTTCCCATCACCTCCTGCCTGGCCCTTTTAACTGGAGATGCTGCCGGGGATTGAACCTGGGACCTTCTGCATGCCAAGCAGAGGCTCTGCCACTGAGCCACAGCCCCTCTTTGCAGCTCTCCAGGGTCTCAGGCGGAGGTCTTTCCCATCACCTCCTGCCTGGTCCTTTTTAACTGGAGATGCCGAGGACTGAACCTGGGACCTTCTGCATGCCAAGCAGAGGCTCTACCGCTGAGCCACAGCCCCTCTTCGCAGCCCTCCAGGGTCTCAGGCGGAGGTCTCTCCCATCACCTCCTGCCTGGTCCTTTTTAACTGGAGATGCTGCCGGGGATTGAACCTGGGACCTCCTGCATGTGAAGCAGAGGCTCTGCTAGGAAGTTCCCGCCTTCTGCTCTGGTCACGCTGCAGCTCTTGGCAGGGCAGGGCGTGGGCGGGTGGGCGGTACATCAGGTTCCTCCAGGGGAATAGAGAGGTTTGATTTGTGCTTGGGCAAGAATAGTCCCGTGTGGCCAGCAGCCGTGCTGTTCCCAGCACCTGCTCTTCTACAAATGTGCATCTGTTCCATGGGCTGCCTCATACTCTTCCAAAGGGGGGGGTTTTCAATCATCCCCCCCCCCCAAGTGGCACCGCTCGGCTTCATTGATGTACTTCAAGTACTTGAAGGGCTGTCATACATAGAGGATGGAGCGGAGCTGTTTTCTGTTGCCCCAGAAGGTTGGACCAGAACCAACGGGTTGAAATTAAATCCAAAGAGTTTTCGGCTAAACACGAGGAAGACCTTCCTGACAGTTTGAGCGGTTCCTCAGTGGAACAGGCTTCCTCTGGAGGAGGTGGGCTCCCCTTCTCTGGAGGTTTTCAAGCAGAGACTCGATGGCCATCTGACAGCAATGCGGATTCTGTGAACTCAGACAGATCATGAGAGGGAGGGCAGGAAGGGTTGCCTCAGGGCTTAGTCCTTGTGGCCCTTTCTTACATGCCCAGGGAAATGCCGATCACCACTTTGGGGTCAGGAAGCAATTTTTCTCCAGGCCAGTTTGGCCGGGGACCCTGGAAGTTTTTTGTCATCTTCTGGGCGCAGAACACCGGTCACTGTGGGTGTGGAGGAGGGGAGGTATTTGTGATTTTCCTGCATTGTGCAGGGGGTTGGACTAGATGACCCTGGAGGTCCCTTCCAACTCTATGAGCCAGTTTGGTGTGGTGGTGAAGTGCGTGGACTCTAATCTGGGAGAACCAGGTTTGATTCCCCACTCCTCCCCTTGTACCTGGCTGGTGTGACCTTGGGCAAGGCGTAGTTCTGGCAAGAGCTGTCCTTGAAAAAGAGCCGTTTCTGTCAGAGCTCTCTCGGCCCCACCCACCTCACAAGGGTGCCTGTTGTGGGGAGGGGAGGGGAAAGGAGTTTGTAAACCGCTCTGAGACTCCTTCGGGTAGTGAAGGGCCATGGGGTATAAATCCAATCTCCTGCTTTTCTTCTTCTTCTATAAATGGTTGGAAGACTATTATAAACGAACGATATAGACATATGAACATTTTAGGAGATAACGTAGACTTCATTTTCATATCAATACACAAAATACTTCTGAGCGATTTTTTCCCAGGTCCCAGTGGTCCCTCTAAGCTGTGGAGTCTTCTGTTTGGTGTAGTGGTTTTCTCTCAGAGCTCTCAGAGCTCTCTCAGCCCCACCTGCCTCACCGGGTGTCTTGTTGTGGGGAGGGGGAGGGAAAAGGAGCTTGTAAGCCCCTCTGAGAGTCCTTCGGGTAGTGAAGGGCCATGGGGTATAAATCCAATCTCCTGCTCTTCTTCTTCTTCTATAAATACTTCTGAGCGATCTTTTCCCAGGTCTTCTGTTTGGTGTAGTGGTTGAGTGCGCGGACTCTAATCTGGGAGAACCGGGTTTGATTCCCCACTCCTCCTCCACTTGCACCTGCTGGATGACCTTGGGCAAGCCGTAGTTCTGACAAGAGCTGTGCTTGAAAAAAAGAGCCAGTTTCTGTCAAGAGCTCTCTCAGCCCCGCCTGCCTCACAGGGTGTCTGTTGTGGGGAGGGGAAGGCGTTCCTCCTCCTCCTCCGATGCCTCTGCCTGAGTGCTGCTAGAACCACACTCTAGACCTGGTGTCGGTCATCCTCCCAGTTGTCCCATATCGAAGCAAACGGTGGCGGCTCAAGGCATCCTCAGCGGTGCCCCAGAACGCCTTGTCTCGTCTCTTCCAGGCAGCGTGGACTGTGAAGCACCCCGCCCCGCCGAGCAGTTGGCCCCAGGAAGGCAGAGTGGAGTTCCGGGGCTACGGGCTGCGCTACAGAGCCGACATGGATTTCGTGCTGAGGGACATCAACGTCACCATCAACGGGGGAGAAAAGGTGAGTGGGTCGTGGGCCCGATCGGCCTGCCGGAGCCGATATGGGCCAAGGGAGCTGTCTGGGGAGAGGAGGAGGCGGAACCGGAGCTCGGCGGGGAGGTCGAGGCAGGAAGGGACCATTTGAGAGAGGAGGGAGGAGACGGTCCAGCAGCAGCCAATCAGAACAGGTGTCCATGTGTCGCATTCCACGTGACCTTTGGAAGATGCAAGATCTGTTTTCCGCGGCTCGCATACCCACTTTCTGAAAAAGCAGAGTGTCTTCCTGCACATCTGGTTGGGGGCAAGGAGGCTTCCCCTCCAAAACTGCTCGCCCCCTTTCCAGAATGGAGGCCCAGAGTGCCTGTTTTTCCCCCCGTGCCCTTCTCCGAAGGTGGGCATCGTTGGCAGGACAGGCGCCGGGAAGTCCTCCCTCGCCCTGGGCCTCTTCCGAATCACCGAAGCCGCCAAAGGAGAGATTCTCATCGACGGGATCGACATCGCTAAAATTGGGCTCCACGACCTCCGCTTCAGGGTCACGATTATCCCCCAGGTAGGTGGGAATCCCCCCTCCCCTTGGCTCTCTTTAGGCATCATCCCCCCCCCCCCGTGGGTTCCTGGCGGCCGCTCGTCTTGCTGAGGCCTTCTTCTCGGACCTGCCCAGTTTCTGTGGACCTCAGTGGGCCAAGTCCTTGCTTGTGCTGCCTCTAGAGCTTCATGGTTCCAAAACATGGCAAAGGGCTCTTGTCCAGCAAAGGGCTCTGCTTATGCATAGAGCTGCAGGTCATTTGGATTTCCCACACAGGAAGCACTATTGTGTGGCGAAGCAACACTCACCCGCAGCAGGTGTTTCCTGTCTACGAAATCCAAATGATTCACCGCTCTATGCACTGGCAGAGCCCTTTGCCAGATGAGAGCCCTTTGTCATGTTTTGGAACCATGGCCATGTTTAGCCATGACCATGCCTAAAAACTATTGCTACAGGGTCAGAATTTAGAAAATGAGTGATGTGTCCCCATTTATTGTGATTCTGCCACCCAAATAGGACCCCATCCTGTTTTCTGGCTCCCTGCGCATGAATCTGGACCCTTTTGACCAGTATTCTGATGAAGACGTCTGGATGTCCTTGGAACTGGCGCACTTGAAGAACTTTGTTTCCACGCTGCCTGACAAACTCAATCATGAGTGCTCAGAAGGTGGAGAAAACCTCAGGTACAAAACAAGTTTCGGCCGCCATTCTTTTCCTTTTTTAAAATGCTGTTATCTTCACTTTGCTTCTGCTCAAGTACTCTTAATCTAGTGCAATCCAGCCATTTTAAACAACAGTTGGAGGAGGCTGTGGCTCAGCGGTAGAACATCTGCTTGGCATGCAGAAAGCCCCAGGTTCAATCTCCTGCTAAAAAGGACCAGGCAGGAGGTGATGGGAAAGACCCCCACCTGGGACCCTGGAGAGCTGCAAAGAGGGGCCGTGGCTCAGTGGCAGACTGACCTTGATGGTCCGATTCAGTAAAAGGCATGTTCGTGTGATGGGATGGGACAGTTCTAAAAGGCCTAAAATTAATTTGCTGACCCCATACTCTCATGCCGCTTACAAATGATACATCCTTGTAACAAATTGCACTATTAACCCTTCCGTTCTGAAGTTTATGTAATCCTGTTTGTCTTGTTACTCTGAAACATTCTATGTTGTTTAGTTGTTGATATTCACTTGTTTGCACTCAATTTCAAATAAAATTATAAAGAAACTGTAAAAAAAAAAATAGAGAGAGGAGAGCCCACACCACCTCCCGAGGAATCCTGTTTCACTGAGGAACGACTCTAAATGTTAGGAAGTTCTTCCTCATGTTTAGCCAAAAACTCTTCTGATTTAATTTCAACCCCTTGGTTCTGGTCCGACCTTCTGGGGCAACAGAAAAGAACTCCACACCATCCTCTGTGTGACAGCCCTTCAAAGACTTGAAGATGGTGGTCATATCACCTCTCAGTCGTCTCCTCTCCAGGCTAAACATCCCCAGCTCCTTCAACCTTTCCTCACAGGACTTGGTCTCCAGACCCCTCACCATCTTCGTTGCCCTCCTCTGGACACGTTCCAGCTTGTCTAGATCCTTCTTAAATTGTGGTGACCAAAACTGAACACAGTACTCTAGGTGAGGTCTAACCGGAGCAGAGTAAAGTGATACCGTCACTTTGCATGATCTGGACACTATACTTCTGTTGATACAGGCCAAAATCACATTTGCCTTGTTAGCAACCACATCACTCTGATGACTCATGTTCAGTGTATGGTCTAGTAAGACCCCTAGATCCTTTTCGCACACACTAGTCTCCCTCATCCTGTAACTATGCATTTGATTTTTCCTACCTAAATGTAGAACTTTACATTTATCCCCATTGAAATTCATTTTATTTATATTAACCCAGTTTTCGAGCCTGTCAAGATCATCCTGTATCCTGACTCTGTCTTCTACTGTATTTGCTACCCCCCCCCACCCTTTTGAGTATCACCTGCAAGCATTCCCTCTGTTCCGTCATCCAAATCTCTCCTTATATATAAAAGAGTTTTCGTGTGAGACGTTCCACACGCCTCCCCAGCCTTTGGGGCCCTGGCCTGTCATTCAGGAGGGGGTCCAATACCCTGGCCACATTGCCTCCCTCCATCACCTCAGTCCCGCCCGCAGACCTGTCGGGCGAGATGGACGCATCGACGGCCAGCCCTGCACCACTTCACTGCCACCCTCGCCATTCACCGACTCCACTTGCCTGGATGCCTGGCCACCGGGCGCAGCCCGCTGGCCTGTCGGCAGTGGAGGCAGCCCACGGGATGCCACCACCTGGCCGGACACAGAGGCAGGGGCAGCCACTTCTGTCACCCCTCCACCCTGGAGTCTGCAGCAGGGGGAGGAGATGGGGACCGGAGACCACTTCGCCCATCGTCGCTGCCCAAAAGCCCACTTCACCTTGCCGCCCACCCTGCACAGGGAGCTCACCCGCAGAGCGCTTGATCCGGCCCCGACGGTGCTGCCGCCCGCCCGGCCACGGAGACAGTGCCGACCCATTCCAGCACCCTTTGAGCCTGCACTCTCGGCAGCGGGCGCCGGCACCGTGCTAGCTCTCATTCCCTTCACAGACAACGGGCGGACCAACCCCCACATCGGGTGGAGGGCCCTCACGCCACGGTCGCTCCTCCTGCCGCGCTGGCCCCCACAGCCCAGGACCAATGCGAGTCGCCAGTCTGCGGCGGCTCCAGCCCAGAGGCCACTACCCACGCCCGCACCGGGACACCGTCGCGGTCTGTGCCGCCGCCATGGGGTCCCACCGGCACATTCAGGCCAGGGCCGCAGGGAGATCTCACATCCTTCTAGCGCCCGGTGTCTTGGTCCTACAACTAGCCTTGCTCCTAGTCATTTATAAAGATGTTGAACAAAAGAGGTCCCAGGACAGCACTTGTTGCTCTTCTCCGAGAGGACGAGGAACCATTCACAAGCACTCTTTGGGTGCAATTCACCTAACGGCAATAGGTTCCAACCACATTATACCAATTTGTCAACAAGAAAATTATGTGGAACCTTATCAGACGCCTTACTGAAATCAAGATAATAGTATTTGGAGTTATTTTGGCAACAAGGATCAGATTACAGAACTGTGGTTTCCTCCCTTCACCATTTCTTCCTGCAGCGTCGGGCAGCGTCAGCTGGTCTGCTTGGCCCGGGCCTTGCTGCGAAAGTCCAAAATCTTGGTTTTAGATGAAGCCACCGCCGCTGTAGACCTGGAGACAGACGACCTCATCCAGTCGACCATCCGGACTCAGTTTGAAGGCTGCACAGTCTTGACCATCGCGCATCGGCTGAACACCATCATGGACTACACACGGTAAAGCCACGGGGGGCCGTTTGTCACAGGGGGTGGGACTGGGGAATGTGGGCAGGCAAAGTCCCAAAAAAAAACCAGGGTTGAAAGGAGAATTCTCGAGCCATGATCTTTACGGGAAGGCCCATAGCTTACTGGTAGAGCCTCTGCTTGGCATGCAGACGGTCGCAGGTTCAATTCCCGGCATCTCCAGTTAAAAGGATTCAGGTAGCAGGAGATGTGAAAGACCTACCTGAGACCCTGGAGAGCTGCTGCCAGAGAAAACAATACTCAATGGAACAGTGATCTAATTCAGTAAGAGGTGTTCATGTGTTCTGGGGAGGGGCCGTGGCTGAGTGACATGCAGAAATTCCCAGGTTCAATCCCCGGCCTCTCCAGTTAGACAGGGAGTCAGTGATGGGAAAGGCCTCTGTCTGAGACCCTGGAGAGCTGTCAAGAGGGGCCGTGGCTCAGTGGCAGAACATCTGCTTGGCATGCAGAAGGTCCCAGGTTCAGTCCCCGGCAGCATCTTCAGTTTAAAAGGACCAGGCGGGAGGTGATGGGAAAGACCTCTGCCTGAGACCCTGGAGAGCTGTGAAGAGGGGCCGTGGCTCAGTGAAAGAGCCTCTGCCTGGCACGCAGAAGGTCCCAGGTTCAGTCCCCGGCAGCATCTCCAGTTAAAAAGGACCAGGCAGGAGGTGATGGGAAAGACCTCTGCCTGAGACCCTGGAGAGCTGCTGCCAGTTTGAGTAGACAGTACTAACCTTAATGGACCCAGGGTCTCATTCAGTAGAAGGCAGCTTCATGTGTGCATCTCTGATTTCACAGAAGTCCTTTACGATATACCAGCATACAATTGGCTGCTTCCTCTTATTGCTGAAGTGTAGCAGTACGGCAAGGGGCCGCGGTGGCTCAAGTGGTTAAGACACTGAGCTGCAGACCGGAAGGTCGGTAGTTCAGCAGTTCGAGACCTGAGTGTGCCGCGTGACGGAGTGAGCTCCCGTCTCTGGCCCCAACTCCCGCCAACCCACCAGTTCGAAAGCAAGAAATTGCAAGTAGATAAATAGGTGCCATTTCGGTGGGAAGGTAACAGCGGTCCAAGCGTATTTTGCACCCTAGGCGAGGATCCCTTCTGGCGACCCCCCGGTGCGCCCCCCAATTTTCAAAAATAAATGCGTTTTAGGAAGAATTAAAAACACAAATTTTGAAATTGCTAATTTATTTATTTTTTAATTGTGAGAAAAAGACAGAAAAGCCCCCCTGCTCCTGCTGAGGTGTTTTTGGAGGGCGTTCTGGCGCAGCCGGGGGAAGGAGGGGACTGAGAAACCGGGCTTGGAGAGCTTTCCCTCCACTTTGGGTGGTTTTGTGCTGACGGTGCTTTTGCACACTCCTGATGAAGCCGCCTGTCTAGGAGAGCAGCGGAGCGCCTGCTGGTTGGGAAGCGTAAACTCCCCCCCCCCAATAATCCTATCAAATGGGAGGCTGGAATAAGTTTGAGAGGTTTTGTAATGAATTGTAAAACAAAAAAAACCCCTTGGACTTCTTGATAGCTTAACAAAAAGAAAGCAAGAAAACAAGGCATGCAGGGAGCTTTATACCGCTGAGGGAAGATGTCACCCTTCCAAGTCCTGCTTCTGAAAGGGGGGAAAGAATTGCAGGGCAGTTATCTTACACTTCTTTTTGCCCCCCTCCTTACTTTGCTGATATTTTATCCCTTCAGCATAGAAATGAGTGCTGTTCTGTTATCTGAATGTAACACCCCAGCCTCAAACAACACAGTCTAGGACACTCTGCATCACAGGCTTAAGGAGAAAACGACCAAAATAGAACCAGAATCTCTCCCTAGTCTATAATTACCACTCTGGAGCCCCTTAATCTACTGTTCCGTAGAGCTCCCTGGACCAGCGAGCCTTCCCACCCGTCCCGTCTCCTGGCATTTGTTAATCTGTAGGGCGCTTCTCATACTTGTGACTTCAATCAGCAGTCAATGTAGGCTGAGTATCAAAACACAAATGTACAAATGTATTGCTGTTCCCTTAATCGCTAAATGTAGGTTGAGTAGACAGGTCTGTTTCTTCACTGCAATGAGGGAAGGTGCGAGGTGGGCCCGCCGGCAGTCTCTGGAGGAAGGCGGTAGGTAGTGCTTCTTCCCAAGCCCGGGGCTTTTAGCCTCCGGCTCACACATTTCTGTCTTAGCTCGGGAATGATGGCTCCAGAGCAAACTAATTTATGCAGTAGGCAAATCACTCACTTACAGCTTTAATGCCAGTAGCTCATAAAGTAGAATTTTTACTCACAAGACTCCACAGCTTAGAGGGAGCATTGCCCCCTGGAGTCGGATTGGACTGGCTTTCGAGCAAGGGAAACCTTTACTTTTACCTTTGAAGGCGGTAGGGTGAGAGAAGAAGAGGAGGAGATTGGATGTATACCCCATGGCCCTTCACTACCCAAAGGAGTCTCAGAGCGGCTGACAAACTCCTTTCCCTTCCCCTCCCCACAACAGACACCCTGGCAGGTAGGCAGGGCTGAGAGAGCTCTTTTTAGAACTGTCCTTGAAAGAACAGCTCTGTCAGAACTATGTCTTGTCCAAGGTCATCCAGCAGGTGCAAGTGGGGGATCAAACTCGGTTCTCCCAGATTAGAGTCCACACACTTAACCTCTACACCAAACGGAGTGTAGAAACTAGTGCTGAATCCAGACGGGGGTACTATTTGACAGGGGTCCTCCCAGGATGGGGTTTTTCTTGCTTGGTCTAGAGGAGGCAGCACGCCCTGCCTACGTCCTCAGCCTGCTTTTGGACCCAGCCCTACTTCTGAACGCTTCTTAACCCCCCACCCCCACCTCCCCCCAGGTTTTTTTGGATTCCCCCTTTGCCAGCTTGCGTTCCCCGCCCTTCCCATCCTCTACCGCTGCCCTGGGACTCCCCCCACCCCAAATGCATTTGCAACTCACCCAATCTTGGGCTTGGAGGAATGGGGGTGCTTTGAGACGGCTAGTTGCAGCCGGGCCACCTTCCCATGGGGGGGGGGGGGGCTAGGAGGGCGGACCCTCTCTCTCTCTCTTTTTAACCCTTGGAGTGCATTTCTGCCAGTAGCAAAGCGGATGTCCCTTTTTCTTTCCGGCTTGCCCTGCAAGAAACAGACCGCGCCTCTGGGTGTGTGTGTGTGAGAGAGAGAGGCTTGCTCCTTTGGTCGCTCCTCCCGCGGGGCTGAAGATCTGCCCAAAAGACGGAGCTGGCTTTTGCAAAAACGTTCACCACTTGCAATGATCCGCAAAGCTGGGGCTTTTGGCAGGGGCAGGGCCAGAGGGGCGCTGAGGCACGCGCGAGGTGGGCCGCTGGGAAGCAGGGCTTCTTCTTGCAGTCAGGGAAGCCTAGGCCTTTGGCGGGTGGGGGGGGCTGGGTCCTGTTTGGCGCCCCTCGGGCCGGCCCGCGCTCTAGGCAAATGCCTAGTTTGCCTAGCGGGTGAGCCGGCCCTGGCTCCGTGCGCCTCGCCGTCTAGTCACGCCGGCCACATGACCACAGAAAAGTCTTTGGCCACTGCTGGCTCTTCAGCTTGGAAATGGAGATGAGCACCGCACCCCTAGAATCGGATTCGACTGGCTTTTGAGCAAGGGAAACCTTTACCTTTACTTAGCAGTACGGCACACTGCAGTCATTCCGTGTCTGATTCTTTGTTCTCCTACCCGTCTTAATTAAATTAAGTCTGGATGCCTGCTTAACCTGCAAGCTTCCTCCGTCATGTGAATTTGTTTCTTTCTCCTTCTTTGACACACAGAATGATCTGCTTCCTGATCTTGGCTTTTCCGCTCTCTCTCTCTCTCTTTTTTTTTTGCTGTAGAGTCATCGTCCTCGACAAAGGCAAGATTGTGGAGTGCGACTCTCCCGCCGCCCTCCTCCAGAAGAAAGGCATCTTCTACAGCATGGCCAAAGAGTCCGGCCTGGCGTAACGCGAGACTGCCGTTCCCCTCCCCGCCAGTCAAGCGCCCAAATGGAGAGGAGGTGTCTGTCGAAATCCATGGTTGCGGATCCTCGCGCCAAGGAATCCCTCTGAAGAACTGGCTTTTGGAATCTGACGAAGGAAGAGGCGTCACAGCCAATTCAGCCTCCCTCCCCCATTTATTTCTCTCCCCTTTTGCCATTTTGCAAGTATATGCTAGTGACGGATTGGGGCCGTGGGTTTTCGGTCAGTAGTCCAAACCCTCCAGATTTCCTTTGTGGCGCCAAAATCTCGCAGCCCCTGAAGGACCAAAACATCCTTCAAAGTTAGAGAGCTTTTCTTTTTTTCTTTCTTTTTGCTCTGTGTTCAGAGGTGTTTTCTCAAAAGGCAAATTAGGTTCCTCTCCCCCCCCCCCCTCGAAAAAGCCAGCCGTTGAAGGGAAAAGGGGACTGAGAGACAGAAAGACATATCTGAATAGCCGTGGGCTTATTGGCCGTTTCCCCTTAAAATCGATCAGACTTTCAAAAATAATACAGCCAAAGCAATTTGGACGGATATGGAAGAATGCTCGAGAACACTTTTTTTTTTTGCTAAAAGGTCATTCCTGTAGTTTGGTGAAAGAAGGCGAAGTTAAGTGATTTGCAGTGCTTAGCAGGTGAAGATTTGGGTCTTCTATTCCCACACCAGCAAGGTGGTTTCCCCGCCCCCCTTCTTTTATTTAAACATATGGGTGAAATAGCTGACTCGTCCAACTATTTTAACAATTCCAGTCAGGGCCCCGATATTGCTACTTCGGCTTAGTAATGCGCGTGCCTGACTGGCTGAAATCCCTTACTTTTGGGGCTGTCCCCCTTCAGGTCCGGCCTGCCTCGCGTTCTTCAGGTTCTCCGTTTATCAAAGCTTTCGAAAGGAGACATCAGACCCTCTGTGGATCCAAAGGCTCCTCCAACAGCGTAGAACTGTCAATCTTGAATTCAACTGCTGATTTCTTTTTTATCACCATTATTATTAAAGAAATAGGCAACATCTTTTTACTTAGACGGGACAAAAATAAAGAAATTATTTATTTTGTTTTGTACATAACCGTTCTTTAAAAGTTGAATAAACAAATTTACTTTGGTATTTTTGTAATGATTCCTGGGAAGAGCTTTTGAGTAAATGTCTTTTTGTTTGCTTGGAAAATTACCCTCCGTGTTATTCTGGAAACTGGACGCAAACACTGGTTGCTTGGCTGTTGTTTGTATAGAAGGTGGGGGGACCGTTCGCCGCATTAAACCTCTTAGAACGTTCAAGCGCTTACGTTGCACACGGAGCTCCCTTACAAAACTGAAAGGTGCCCTGAACCTTTACTGCTGAATGGGCCCATGTTAGGACTTCCTACACAGCATAATTGGACTGTGGGGCTGTGGCTCAGTGGCAGAGCTTCTGCTTGGCACACAAAAGGTCCCAGGTTCAATCCCCGGCATCTCCAGTTAAAAGGACCAGGCAGGAGGGGATGGGAGAGAACTCCGCCTGAGACCCTGGAGAGCTGTCAAGAGGGGCCGTGGCTCAGTGGCAGAGCCTCTACTTGGCAGGCAGAAGGTCCCAGGTTCAATCCCCGGCAGCATCTCCAGTTAAAAGGACCAGGCAGGAGGTGATGGGAAAGACCTCCGCCTGAGACCCTGGAGACCTGTAGAGAGGGGCTGTGGCTCAGTGGTAGAGCCTCTGCTTGGCATGCAGAAGGTCCCGGGTTCAATCCCCAGCAGCATCTCCAGTTGAAAAGGACCAGGCAGGAGGTGGTGGGAAAGACCTCCGCCTGAGACCCTGGAGAGCTGTCAAGAGGGGCCGTGGCTCAGTGGTAGAGCCTCTGCTTGGCATGCAGAAGGTCCCGGGTTCAATCCCCAGCAGCATCTCCAGTTGAAAAGGACCAGGCAGGAGGTGGTGGGAAAGACCTCTGCCTGAGACCCTGGAGAGCTGCAAAGAGGGGCCGTGGCTCAGTGGTAGAGCCTCTGCTCGGCATGCAGAAGCAAAGATTTCATCACAGAGATCCAGATTAGCTTTTCTTGGGGTAACATTTTGACATGACCTAAAAGTACAGCCTGTAAGATTATGAACACGTGAAGCTGCCTTATACTGAAGCAGACCTTTGGGCCATCCAGTTCAGCATTGTCTAGTCAGACTGGCAACGGCTCTCCAGGGTCTCAGGTGGAGAGAGGTCTTTCCCAACACCTCCTGCCTGGTCCTTTTTAACTGGAGGTGCTGCCGGGGACTGAACCTGGGACCTTCTCCTTTTGTGACTCCCCTTCTGGAAGATTGGTAACAGCCCCTTGTCTCCTCAAAGCTTATCTCCAGACCCACATGGCCAAGAAACATGACTGCAGAAAGGCAGTTTATTTTGCCTGGATAAAAATGCAAACAGGTGTCTCACCTGTGCTTAGAGATAGCCCCTTGACTCTGCTGCAAAACCCTTGCTCCACAAAAGAAACAGAAGTGGTCTGTGGGCTAGATGAATTATTTCTTTCAAAGCATTCAGGATTTTTAAGAGCAAACAAAACCACAAAAGGCCTTTCCTGTCTCCCCTTGCCTTCAAACCTCATTTGGCGAGATTTGATTAAATTGAGCAACAAACGGTCATGCAACGGTTTCTTAACACAACAGAGAAGTCATAGATGAAACGCCTACACAGCCCCCCCCCCCTCGAAATCTTGTAATGCCTGTCGAGTCACATGGGCCAAGGATCACATGCTCAGCTGTTGCCTTCCTGTACCAGGAAGTTTTAAAAAACCCATTTTGCAGGTGGGTGGGGGGGATGGGCGGGTGGCGTATCAGGGCATTTATTGTACATCCAAACCTGTTCCTCCACCACCCACGTAAAGGAAGGCAGTGTCTGGGAGCCCAGGAATGCAAGTTACAACACAAGTTTAAAAATGTTCTCTCTCTCATCCGTTTCACCTGGTTGGAGTGAGGTGATGTGTCTTATAGCTTTCATTCCTGGAGGGAGGCAGAACTAAGACACCGCCTGCTGCAGAGGAGTTCTGGTAGAATCATAGAATATTAAGAGTTGGAAGGGACCTTGCAGGTCATCTAGTCCAACCCCCTGCACTCTGCAGGAGCACAGCCGAAAGAGAGCCCTACAACATACCCGAAAGATGGTCGTCCAGCCTCCGCTTGGAAACGTCCAACGGAGCCTCCACCATCTCCAGAGGCAGCCTGTTCCACTGCTCAACCAGTCTTACAGTCAGGAAGTTCCTCCTGATATTTAGCCGGTATCAACTCCCTTGTCATTTCCACCCATTAGATCTAATCTTGCAATCTGGACCAAGAGAGAATAGATCTGCTCCATATTCTACATGACAACCCTTCAGATATTTGAAGACTGCAGTCATGTCCCCTCTAAAATGTCCTTTTTTAAAAAAAGCCAAAGATTAACAGATATCGAGTACTTTTCAGCCAGTCTGGTGTCGTGGTTAAGTGCGCGGACTCTAATCTGGGAGAACCGGGTTTGATTCTCCACTTGCACCTGCTGATGTGACCTTGGGTCAGTTGCAAGCTCTGGCACAGCTGTTCTTGAAAAAGAGCAGTTTCTGTCAAGAGCTCTCTCAGCCCCACCCACCTCACAGGGTGTCCTGTTGTGGGGAGGGGGAGGGAAAGGAGTTTGTAAGCTGCTCTGAGACTCCAAGTGAAGGGCGGGGTATAAATCCAATCTCTTCTTCAATGCCTTCTCACTGGAATGCAGCTATCTCTACGGGATCTTCTTGCTTAGAGTACCAAACCAGGGAACATGACAGAGAGGTGCTTCATACACAACGAAGACGGGTAGGTTTTTATACCTGGCTTTTCTCTCCCCTAAGGAGTCTTAAAGCGGGGCTTACAATCACCTTCCCTTCCTCTCCCCACAACAGGCACCTTGTGAGGTAGGTGGGGCTGAGAGCGCTCTGAGACAGCTGTGACTGGCCCAAGGTCACCCAGCAGGCTTTGTGGGGAGGAGAAGTGGGAAATCAAACCTGGTTCTCTCCAGATTAGAGTTTGTGGCTCTTCACCATGGCACCAGGCTGGCTCACACATGCCGAATTAGGCACTTTGAGTCCACTTAGCTTCTGGATTTCACTGTGTGAAGTGGCCAGGGGTGTGCAAAAAAAAATAATTCAGCCCATTTGGATTCGGTCGAATCGGGCAGAATCAATTTCGGCTGGCAGTAAGACTCCTGCATGTCAGTTTCGTCAGTACCAGCCAATTTCAGCCCCATTAGATCCTATGGGCCATTGAAGTCAATGGCGAAAACATGGGGTATATTCTGGGGGCTGGAGGGGAGGGGGCTTGAGGGAGAGGCTCCAAACTCATAGGGTAACTGCTGGAGCCTCTCCCCAAGGTACCAACCACGTTTGAAGAACATTGGACCAGGGGCCCTCAAAAAGGTTACCCCTATCCCCTCCATTGTTCTCAATGGTGGGGAAAAAGAACAATGGAGAGGGGGCCAACTTGTTTGGGGGACCATAGAACTGGACCCCCTGGTCCAATGTTCTTCAAACATGGTTGGTATCTTGGGGAGAGGCACCACCAGCTCCCCTGGGAGTTTGGAGCCTCTCCCTCAAACCCCATCCCCTCCAGCCCCCAGAATATACCCTATGTTTTCGCCATTGACTTCAATGGCCCATAGGATATAATGGGGCCGAATTGCTGCCAAAATTCGGCGACAATTCGGTGGCAAGCCGATTTAGATCAGAGAATCTGAATCGGCCTGCAGGAGCCCAAAAGGGGTCCGAAAAGGGGTCCCTAGAAGTGGCAGATTTTGCCACTTGCAAACGACAGCCAAAGTGGGTTAAAAGTGCATTTTATTCAGTGTGCGTGAAAACGTGGCTTCTCTCCTGGGCTGGCTGGGGATCTGGGATTGCCGTTGATCTCCAGGTTACAGAGATCAGCTTCCCTTGCCTGGAGAAAATGGCCGCTTGGGAAGGTGGACTCTGGGGCATTCTACCCCACTGAAGTCCCTTCCCCAAACCCTAACCCTTCCCAGACGTCACCCCCCCAAAAGTCCAGGCATTTCTCAACCCGGACTGGGCCGCTCTAACGGCAGCTTGGGTGTGAATGCGGAGATAAAAGCCCTGCCTCTCCCCCTAGGCCATGAGTAGCACAAGAGAACTCTGCAGCATAAGAATTAAAAAAAACCCACAATTCTTACGAGCGGGGATGCCTGGGGTTAGCACAACCAGGTTTACCATTTTGTCCCGTTCAATCCTGAAGTGTTTCAGTGACAAGCCCAGCTCCACCCAGAAGGAGGAGGATATTGGATTTATACCCCGCCCTTCACTACCCAAGGGAGTCTCAGGGCGGCTTTGACAATCTCCTTTCCCTTCCCCTCCCCACAACAGACACCCTGTGAGGCAGGTGGGGCTGAGACGGCTCGGACAGAAACTGCTCTTTTTCAAGGACAGCTCTTATCAGAACTATGCAAGCCAAGGAGAGAGATGGAAGTGGAAAAGGAAACAAACAACCTTGATATGTTATGCCACAAAAGTCTCCAAAGACTAGAAATTTCTTTTTCCAATATTCAGTTTACTTACTAGATGAAATTCAAACGCCATCAACACCAACGCATCACGCATATCATCTTGTTTCGTGTACAACTCTGCCAAAGTGAATAGCGTTGAAATACAAGATTAATCCATTTAACAAACTCACTGGTAGTATTGACATTACACTGATAGATTTTGAAGAATGTCACTATGAAATACTACCAGTGAGTTTATTAAATGGATTAATCTTGTGTTGTTGTTGTTCAGTTGCACAGTCGAGTCCGACTCTTCGCGACCCCATGGACCAGATCACGCCAGGCCTTCCTGTCTTCCGCCGTCCTCTGAAGTTTGCTCAATTTCATGTTCGTTGCATCGGTGACACTGTCTAACCATCTCATCCTTTGCCGTTCCCGTCTTCTTTGGCCTTTAATCTTTCCCAGCATCAGAGTCTTCTTCGCCAGTGAGTGCTCCCTTCTCATTTGGTGGCCAAAGTATTTGAGCTTCAGTTTCATTATCTGGCCTTCCAGGGAACCGTCAGGGTTGATTTCTTTTAGGATCGACTGATTTGATCTCCTTGCAGTCCAAGGGACTCTCAAGAGTCTTCTCCAGCACCATAGTTCAAAAGAATCTATTCTTCGGCGCTCGGCCTTCCTTATAGTCCAACTCTCGCAGCCATACATGACTACTGGGAATACCATTGCTTTGACCATGCGGACTTTTAATCTTGTATTTCAACGCTATTCACTATGACAAAGTTGTACACGAAACAAAGAAGATATGCACGATCCGTTGGTGTTGATGGCGTTTGAATTGCATCCAGTCATCAGAACTGTGGCTTGCCCAAGGTCATCCAGCCAGGTGCGAGTGGAGGAGTGGGGGAATCAAACCCGGTTCTCCCAGATTAGAGTCCGCGCACTTAACCACTACACCAAACTGGCTCTCTAGGTGCTAGCAGGGGTGGAGGATTGGAGCAGAGACCACGGGGCTAAGCCCCCCGCCTCCCCCCCCAGGAGGTGCAATTTTACCCAAGCACCCATTTCTGCAGTTGCTCCGGGCGTCAGTGTCCGAAGGGCAGGGCAGGGCCTTCTCGGTAGCCGCAGACCTCCGAAGAAAGCAGGAAGAGGCGAGAGGAACACGAGCCGGCTCCACAGTCCCTTATGCAACAGTAACTTCAAATTTTATTTAAAAGGTTCACAGGACAACAAGACAGTGATCAAGTCCACATCAAGAAGGATACAAGTTTTGGCTCTGGCAGCAAACGGTCCTCCTTCACGCAGGATGCTGCGGTCTGAATCGCCTTTGGTCCGGAGGATTCGCTCCGAGACACAAACAAACCCACAGAGCGCGGGAGATTTGACAAGATGTTTCAGACTTCAGCATCCACCCGGCGATGGCAGCATTCAACTCTTACTTATACGCAACACCCCCCACGTTCATCCAGACCTTTCCAAAGAAGGGGGGCGCACAGCAAGGACCCCACCGGGCTGTTGCAGAGAACATCCATACCCACTGCCCAAAACGGGAATCTGGCCTCGATCCACTCGTATCAGCTACAAGCCGTTCAGCCGGCATTTTCTCACCCCAGCCCCCCCCCCCCATTTTCCAGCCCCACAGGTGCAAAATTTCCACGCTGGAACCTGCCAAATCAGGTCAGAGAGCGGAAAGGATCTGGCCCTCTTGAAGAATTCAAGAAGCTAAAAATATACTTATATTCACAGATTTCCTTTGCAGCATAATATAAAAAAATATTCCTGGAATACTCTCTGTACGACGCTTAGAGCTTGGAATAGAAAGGAGGCCGGAATTTTTCCGTTTGTGCTTTAGCCTTTGTGGCGCGGTGCACCCTGAACGGGAACACTTGTTCAAAGGAGTCTGAAAACCGGCATTTTAAAATAGATTTCAGTGCTCAAGAGAAGTTAGTAAACAATAACGCAGAGAAAGAAAGGCCTCCGAGTCAGAAAAGGACCCTCGCGGGGCACCCGCGGTTGGTTGGCCCCCACAATAATCTACCTTAAGACAACACTTAATGCATCTGACACCTTCCCCGGTAGAGACCTCCCGTGGGGACAGAGCTTCCCCCCCCCCCAGACACACACCTTCCTTTCAAGGCAGGGATTTGGGAGACAGAGAAGTGGGCGAGAGAAAGGTCTCCTCTTCCTGAACTGATATTTGTAAAAGGCAGAGAATGCGCAGCATCGAGAGTGTCCAAGAAGCACTTGCGGAGACGACCCAGCCCTCCCCCCCCACCTTTTTCGTCGGCACAAATCCTGCCGGCGCTCAGAGCCGCTTGTAGGTACCCAGGAGCGTGTTGCAGCTGGGGCAATAGTGGTCCACGTCGAGGAGGGCGTCCACGCAGAAGGGAATCAGGCAGCAGCCGGCCCAGCACCTGGAGGGGGGAGAGAAAGCGAGCCGGGCTCAGCTGTCGGTTCCCCAAGGAAGCTCTGCTGGCTCTTCTGGAACCTTTGCCCCCCCCCCATTCCCTCCCAAAGCAAACTCTGAACCCAGGCAACTGGTCCTGATCACAGCCTTTCTCACCCCCCTCCCATTTCTCCTGCCTCCCCCTCCCGCCCTGTCTTTTGCAAACTCTATGGGGCAAGTCGCTGCCTTCTGTCCCCAGCTGTATCACCAATCGTGGGGGTCTGTGAAAGTTTGGTGTCGTGGTTAAGAGTGGCAGACTCTAATCTGGGAGAACCGGGTTCGATTCCTCACTTCTCCACATGCAGCTGCTGGTGTGAACTTGGGTCAGCTGCAAGTTCTGTCAAAGCTGTCCTTGAAAAAGAGCAGTTTCTGTCAGAGCTCTCTCAGACCCACCTACCTCACAGGGTGTCTGTTGTTAAGCAGCTTGAAGGCTAGAGCCAGTTTGGTGTCGTGGTTAGGAGCGTGGACTCTAATTTGGGAGAACCGGGCTTGATTCCCCACTCCTCCACGTGCAGCTGCTGGTGTGACCTGGGGTCAGTCACAAGTTCTCTCAGAACTGTTCTCTCAAGGGCAGTTCTCGAGAGAGCTCTCTCAGCCCCACCTACCTCACAGGGTGTCTGTTGTTAAGCAGCTTGAAGGCTAGAGCCAGTTTGGTGTAGTAGTTAGGAACGTGGACTCTAATTTGGGAGAACCGGGTTTGATTCCCCACTGCTCCATCTGCAGCTGCTGGTGTGACATTGGGTCGGTCACAAGTTCTCTCAGAGTTGTCCTCTCAAGGGCAGTTGTATCAGAGCTCTCCCAGCCCCACCCGCCTCCCAGGGTGTCTGTTGTGGGGAGGGTAAGGGAAAGGAGTTTGTAAGCCGCTCTGAGACTCCTTTGGGTAGTGAAGGGCCATGGGGTAGAAACCCAATCTCTTCTTCTCTTCTTATTATTTCTTGGCACAGGGGCATCTGACGAAGAGAGCTGTGTTTCTCGAAAGCTTATGCTACTATAAAGTTTGTTAGTCTCAAAGGTGCTACTGGGCTTTTTACTATTTGTTCATAAGGTCACCGTGAGTCAGAATTATTAAACTGATGGCACCCTAACACACACACACACACACAATTAATGGTTTGTCACAACCTCTGGAGGAGTGCAGGTGTGTTTTGATTTTTTTGTTGCAGTTATTTTCAAGGTGAGGATCTTTTTTTAAAAAAAAAACCCTTCTAGTGAATATCTTCCTTGGAGAACTTCCGTACCCTCTTAAGCTCAACGCCCCGCTCAGAGTACCTAAAGGGAAGGACGTGGCCAGGAGCGTCACTTATCTGTCGCTGAAAATTCTACCCCGAATCAAGGAAATCTCGGGGCTGCCGGGTTTTTTTTAAAGCCTCTATTTTGTTTATTTAACTGTATTCATATTCCGCCCTTTTCTCCTAATGGGGACTCAACGTGGTTTTCTTCTCCGTTTCATCCTCACAACAGCCCTGTGAGGTCGCTAGGCTGAGAATGTGTGTGACTGGCCCCAGGTCATCCAGCAAGCTTCCATGGCAAAGTGGGGATTCGAACCTGGGCCTCCTAGCTCCTTTCCTCCATTTTATCCTCACTAGAACCCTGTGAGGGAGGGGAGGTTGAGTGTGTGTTATGGGCCCAAGGTTATCCGGCAAGCTTCCATGGCATGAACTGGGATTCGAATCTGGGTTTCCGGGATACTAGTCTGACCCTTTAACCACCACACTCTGGCTCTCACATTGTTTAAATGGAAGCCACATTGCAGCCCCAACTGGGCGAGCCGCCGGGACGGCGCGGAAGCCGGCAGAACACTCGGGCCCTGCGCGTGGCGCCGGAGGAGAGGAAACGCCCGCCACCTACCCCAGCAGGCAGAGACTTCCGGCAGACAGCCAGGTCAGGGCTCCCGCCGAGTGCGTCAGGCGCGTCACGATCACTTTGCTGCAGGACGGGCAGCACATCTGCACGGGGCGGTCGTGGAAGGTCAGCGGGTTCTGGATGTAAACCGCCTGGAGGGCCACTGGCAAGAAAACAGACGGCAAGAGAGTCAGTCAGTCGTCAGTCACCAGTCGGCCTTTATTGGCATAAAATACCTTAAAAAGGATTACTATAAAATATACACACACACACACTAGGGAGCAAAGCCTGTTCTGGACGGAGACAACAGGCACCTAGAAAGGGAGGGAGGGAGGGAGGGAGGGAGGAGGAAGGAAGGAAGGAAGGAAGGAAGGAAGGAAGGAAGGGGGGAGGGAAATGGGGGCGTGCCGAGCGGCTCATCACCGGCGCTGCCGGCCTTCAACTGGGGGGGTGGGGGAGGGAAATCGGGGTGCTCTCAAGTGGGTGGATGGGTGGGGTGGGCTGGTGCAGGAGGGAAATCGGGCGGCGGCGAGCAGTTCATCGCCGCCGCCAGGCCATTCAGGTGCAGCGTTTGGCTCCCGCCTCCCAGCCAATGGCATGGCCGCAGCCTTGAGCGGCAGCTGGCCGCCCAATGGCTGACGGAGCGTATTTTGTCTCTGCTCAGTCCTACGCTGCGTCTTACTCAATTATATATAAAGGAAATATGTATATATATTTATATATATGTATATGCACACACACACATATACATTTAACACCAACTGTAACCGTACGTATAAAACGTATAAAACATAATGTAGGATAAAACAATTACTCATTGTAAGTTTCCCTGATGTAGCTTTATCGCTGATTGTAAAAAAAATGGCTACGTTCATTGATGTTTCCGAAATGGAGTCATTTAGAAGATGGTGCACTTTTAAAGCATCAGGAAGCATTCGTCATGTTAGCTAAGAGAGAGTTTAAATATCTAACACGTAAATCCACGTATGATTGACAATGCAAACGAATATGCGAAACAGTTTCGATGCATCCAGAGTTGCAATGGCAGAGTCTATCCTCATATACTACATGGTTACATCTCCCGTGTGTCAGAACCCACAGCTAGCAACGAAGCACACACATTCAGAAACGGTTATACTTTTATTGCAAAGCTATAGATGCAGTAACACAGGCACTGTTAAGAATGGCGGCAACCCATAGAGCCTAATAGGATATAGGGTATTTGTGTGCACCCCCCCCCCATGGCATGGGCCAATTAGGCACCCTCCCGCGTGCGGGATAAGTTAGGAAGCCGTTAGGTGGCTAAAGCTGGGAGCCAGGAGTCTCTCACGGTACATAGGAGACTTCCAGACAACACAACCTCCTCCTGCACATCTGTAGAGATAAGCGTTTCAGCAAAGGGAGAACAGCAGGCATAGGAATGCAGAAGCAATTAACAAGACACAGAAGGAGCTCCCCAACCCCCATGGCAGCACAGCTGACACCATGCTGATGGTATAGCATTGAATCTTGCTGGAGAAAAGGCTCTGCGCTGTTGCAGTGCTCGTATACCAGACAGATGTGGGGCCATTCGGCCTACCGTTAGGGGTATATCAAAGTTCAGGGGGGGACAAGATTTGTTGGCTAAACTGTAAAGCCTCCGCGTGGCAAAAGAGACCTGCTCGACACCACTCGGCTAGCCAAAGGTGAAAGGGGTCGCGGGTGGCCACGCTTTTGATGTTTAAAATTTACATCATTTATAATTCACCTTTTCTCACTTGGGCTCCAGGCGAATTCCTCAGGGTGAGTCAAGACCATCCACAGGTTTGCAAACGGAGCCCAGGTGGCCATCAGACAACAATGCAGATTCTGTGAACTTGGGCAGATTGTGAGAGGGAGGGCAGGAAGGGTTGCCTCAGGGCTCAGTTCTCGTGGCCCTTTCTGACACGCCCGGGGAAATGCCGATGGCCACTTTGGGGTCAGGAAGCCATTGTTCTGCAGGCCACTTTGGCTAGAGATCCGGGAGGTTTTCTGTCACCTTCTGGGCATGGAGCAGGGGTCACTGGGCGTGTGTGTGGAGGGGGAGGTCTTTGTGAATTTCCTGCATGGTGCAGGGGGTTGGACCAGATGACCCGGGAGGCCCCTTCCGATTCTATGACTGGGTATTCAATGCAATAGGGTTAGCGTGGTAGAACCAACCAGAAAACTAAAAAAGGGAACTGAAGCCAAGCCTAAGTCTTAACATGACACAATGATACAAAAAAATACGTCATGGGATCCAACCTGCAGCAAACAATACACAGCACAGGCCCCAGTCCCTAATATTTTACCTAAGTCACTTCGTGAATCATTTAGTGCCACTCCAATTGCCTGCATAGAAAAGCTCTCTTGAATAATTCATGGAATCATAGAATCACAGAATGTTAAGAGTTGGAAGGGATCTTGCAGGTCATCTAGTCCAACCCCCCTGCACTCTGCAGGAGCACAGCCGAAAGAGAGCCCTACAACATACCCGAAAGATGGCCATCCAGCCTCCGCTTGAAAACGTCCAGCCAAGGGGCATCCACCACCTCCCGAGGCAGACTGTTCCACTGTTCAACCACTCTCATGGTTAGGAAGTCTCTCCTGATATTTAGCCGGTAACGACTCCCTTCTAATTCCCACCCATTAGATCGAGTCTTGCAATCCGGAGCAAGAGAGAATGGATACGCTCCATCTTCTACATGACAGCCCTTCAGATACTTGGAAGACTGCAATCCTGTCCCCCCTCTAAGCCTTCTCTTTCCCAGGCTAAACAGACCCAACTCTTTCAGCCTTTCCTCGTAAGACTTTTGGATTCCAACCCTCTCCCCATCCTGGTCACCCTCTTCTGGACACGCTCCAGCTTGTCAACACCCTTCCTAAAATGTGGTGCCCAAAACTGGACACGGCACTCCAGGTGAGGCCTGACCATAGCAGAATAAAGAGGAACGACCACCTCCTGTGATCTGGACACGATGCTTCTGTTAAGGCATCCTAAGATTGCATTTGCTTTCTTCGCAGTCACATTGCACTTCAGGCTCATGTTTAGCTTGTGATCAATCACAACACCTAGATCCCTTTCAGTTTTGCATAGTTTGCAGAAAGCGAAGAAGGGCTTCCGCCCTCTGCTCTATGATCAGGACAGACTGCCTCTGAACAGGGAGGCTCTCTTCTTAGCGAATCTGGCTTCCCGCCCGGCAGGGAGTAGCTGGCATCCTTTGATTTCCACAAGGCTTTTAAAAGGCTAACAATGTCGTGTTTCTACAGTGCTCAAGCGACTGCAAGCATTTCACGGACCCGAGAGCGCTTCACTTCTACGGAAGGGCAGTATTTCCAGCCTCCATCGAACCTGGCATCAGGTTCACTTCAAAGGAATCGCTTGGCGTGAGAAGCGTGTGCGCTCATCAGAGGCTTTTAAGCTGATTTCTCAAAGGCACTTAACGGTAAAAGGAGGCCTGGCAAAGCCCAGCCGGAGGAGAAATACAAACTGGCCCTTCAGAAATGGCCACCACAGCCAACAGCTCCGCCTTCAGGGGTCCCAGGCAGTGTTCCCTCTAAGCTGAGTTAGTGTGAGCTGGCTCAGTTTTTTAGCCTCCGGCTCACACATTTTTGTCTTAGCTCAGGAAGGAGGGCTCCAGAGCAAACTGATTTATACAGTAGCCAAACAGCTCGCTCACAACTTTAATGCCGGTAGCTCACAAAGTAGAATTTTTGCTCACAAGACTCCACAGCTTACAGGGAACATTGGTCCCAGGTTGCTTCGTTCCATCTGCAGAAATTGCAGTGTTGCTGTGGACACAGAACTAGTCTTATGGGGAGGTTCGGATCCATCTGGAGACCTCCCCCGCCTCACCGCCTTTCCTGACATCTGTTCAGCTGGGCTCTCCCTTTCCAGGGTGGCATCCACGCCGGCAACGCCCTTCCCAAAGGGGGCACCGGACGTCTTCACTTGCTAAGGAGAGTTTCTTCATGCTTGTCGAACGAAGCTCTGCTAGCCGCCTGAGCATTTCCAGCCACGCACACAATGTTTACATTTCCCAACCTGGTTTTTTTTATCATAAAATTGCTTTCATTTTATGGCCATATTTGCTGGCATTTTGTAATTATGGTTCCACTGAGTTTAAATTCAGGCGGGCCACCGTGTTGGTCTGAAGCAGCAAAACAACGTTCAAGTCCAGTGGCACCTTTAAGATCAACAAAGTTTAATTCTGGGGACTAGCTTTCATGTGCATGCACACCTTTAAGACCCACAAAGTTTAATTCTGGGTATAAGCTTTCACATGCATGCACACCTTTAAGACCCACAAAGTTTGACTCTGGGGATTAATTTCCGTGAGCATGCACACCTTTAAGACCCACAGAGTTTAACTGGGGCATAAGCTTTTGTGTGCGTGCGCACCTTTAACACCAACAAAGTTTAATTCTGAGTATCAGCATTCGTGTGCATGCACACATTTAAGACCCACAAAGTTTAATTCTGGGTTTAAGCTTTCGTCTGCATGCACACCTTTAAGACCAACAAAGTTTAATTCTGGGTATAAGTTTTCGTGTGCATGCACACCTTTAAGACCAACAAAGTTTGATTGTATCGGCTTTCGCGTGCATGCACACCTTTTGAGACCAAGAAAGTTGGCTGTGTGTTGGCACATGAAAGCTTATACCCAGAATTAAACTTTGTGGGTCTTAAAGGTGTGCATGCACATGAAAACTTATACCCAGAATCAAACTCTGTTGTCTCAAAGGTGTGCATGCACACAAAAGCTTATACCTTGAATGAAACTTTGTTGGTCTTAAAAGTGCCACTGGACTCAACCTGTACCGTTACGTTGCCTCGAATGCGTTATTGGCCAGCAACCCATCACTTTGTACATTTCAAGAGACAGCGGAATGGAGAGAGCAAAATGTTTCCCCCAGAGGCACGCTTGCGGGCGCTACCCAAAGAGGAGTGTCGGCTCCGGGTTGGTCTCCCTCCCGAGGGAGGGAGACCAACCCGGAGCCGACACTCCTCTTTGGGTAGCGCCCTGGTCCCCTCCCTCGCTTCACAAAGACCGGTAGGCAAGGCACTGCCAGTTGTGTGCCAGGATCCAAGGCACGCTGGGCGGTTCTGCAAACTTACCTGGAGGAGGGGCCGTGGTCACAGGCTGCCCTGGATAGGGCTGCGCCGGATAGTGGTGTGCCGGATAGGGTGGAGCTTGCACCTCTTTCGGCGGCGGTCCGGCCCCGAACCCGGCTGGGGGAGGGTAGGGGACGGGGTAGGGGGCGCCGCTGTTGATGCCAGTTGTCTCTTCGTAGGAAGGCGGTGGGGCTGACGGGAAGTTGGGCGCTGATGGAGGAGGAGGAGCGGCCATTTCTAGGAGAGAAACAGAACAGAGGTTGAGTGGTCTGGCAGCCCCTGTGGCCGAGGGGGAGCCTTTTCCCCACGAAGGGATCTGTTCAGAGTGATCGAGCCAACGAGGCCCACCTCGCAAGGCAGGTGGTCGGCCTTGCCCCCCACCCCCGCGTGGCCTGCCGCCTGGGGGAGGTTCAGGCAAAGAGCCTCCACTTCTGGAAAATGGAGGTAGCCGTTCCTGCTAGCAACTGAGAGCCAAACGGGCCGTTTACCTGATATGCCTCACTCCAATTAAACACACACACACACCATGAGATGCCTTCTAAGTAGAGTGAATCTTTATTCGAATAAAGGAGCCCCTGAAAAGAATAGTGACGAGGTCCGCCCCAAACATTATAGTATGCAACGGCTTCTCAAGCATGTGTGTTAGAACTTCACATAGGAAGAACGCGTTTCTTCCATCCTTATTTCAGGCCCCTCACAAGTTCCCTTTGTGTAGTGGTTAAGTGCACGGACATTAATCTGGGAGAAATGGGTTTGATTCCCCACTCCTCCACCTGCAGCTGCTGGATGACCTTGGGTGAGTTACAAGTTCTCTCAGGGCTGTTCCCTCAAGGGCAGCTCTCTCAGAGCTCTCTCAGCCCCACCTACCTCACAGGGTGTCCATTGTGGGGAGGGGAAGAAGAAGATATTGGATTTATACCCCATGGCCCTTCACTACCCGAAGGAGTCTCAGAGCGTCTTACAATCCCCTTTCCCTTCCCCCCCCCCACAACAGACACCCTGTGAGGTAGGTGGGGCTGAGAGAGCTCTGACAGAAACTGCTCTTTTTCAAGGACAGCCCCACGGGTGGACCTCCTGATGGCACTGGTATTTCTGGCCACTGTGTGATACAGAGTGTTGGACTGGATGGGCCTTTGGCCTGATCCAACATTGGCATCTCTTATGTTATTATGTTCTTATGACAGAACTTGCAGCTGACCCAAGGTCACACCAGCAGCTGCATGTGGAGGAGTGGGGAATCAAACCCGGTTCTCCCAGATTGGAAGGGAAAGGAGGGTATAAATCCCATCTCTTTTCTCTTCTTTCTCTATGTTTAGCAAGGAGTGGCCTTCAACACAACTATCACAGAATAACGGCATTAGTTTTCGGAATGTTTCCATGCACAGGCTCATTTCACACTCGCACATTACACAGCCAAGTAACGTATCAGCAAGCCAGCAAGTATGCTTTTTATTTGCTGAAACACACAGGCTGTTTGTTCTTTGGGGCACAACACCTCTCCCCCCAGAATGCCTCTTCGTCTCTGACGTTTTAGGAAACTGTATTGAAGTTCACAAAGCTGGGCCGAGGCTCTAACGTGAACCGCCGGCAGTGCTTTGCAAAATCTATCAAAATGGCGTCACTGTTGCTCATCGCAACCAAACATGGCCCCTAGTCCGTCCTCATGGTATACGTTGGGCGCCACTTGTTAGGTTGGCATTTGGTGCCTAATTGTCACCATCCACTCTTGGACCTTCCATCAGGAATATTGAAGAAACAGGAGGTGGAACAAGTGGTAGGTCCTATCCTCCAACAAGAAATTTTGCAGTCGAGGCAGGGTTCTTTGTTTACTTTATCCAAAATAGAAATTTATTGAAGAAGCAAAACATAAAGATCACAGCGTCGGCTTACACAAAAGCTTCGTCTTAATTCCTAAGTAAATGAATAATACTGGCACGTATAAAACCGTAACTAAAATAACTACTGTCAGAGCCACCTCATATAATTTCGTTATGAAAACATATCTCGGCTAAGCAGTTGCACTGAGCATGAAAACAAAAGAAGCAAGACTCTGGTATCTTCCTCTCTTGTCTGGGTGTTATGGGAGACTAAGAACTGTATTTACTATATAAGCATGAGCAATAATGGCTAACAAGCGTGGTCTGTCCTCCCTTTTATTATGATACATTTCCTGTGGTTTTGTGGCTGCCCAACATGGTAGAATCTCCCTATTTGTTTCAGACCAATTTTAGTCATGCAGTCACTTCTGCAGCGCAAGCTGCTACTAAAGATTAGCTAGTTCATATGCTTGATAATCACAATATAGTCTGACAAGGGAGCAAGTGTGGTAGAACGGCTGTCAGGCTAGGATCCGGGAGACCTGTGTTCGAATTAAGGCTCTAACACGGAAGCTTGCTGAGTGACTCGGTGCCAGTCACAGACTTTCAGCCTAACCTAAGGCCGAGCGCCGAAGAATAGGTGCTTTCGAATTCTGGTGCTGGAGAAGACTCTTGAGAGTCCCCTGGACTGCAAGGAGATCGAATCAGTCAATCCTAAAAGAAATCAACCCAGACTGTTCCCTGGAAGGCCAGAGACTGAAGCTGAAGCTCAAATACTTTGGCCACCCAATGAGAAGGGAGCCCTCACTGGAGAAGAAGACCCTGATTCTGGGAAAGACTGGAGGTCAAAGAAGACGAGGACGGCAAAGGATGAGATGGTTAGACAGTGTCATAGATGCAATGAACATGAAATTGAGCTAACTCCAGAGGACGGCGGAAGACAGGAGGGCCTGGCAGAAAGTGGTCCATGGGGTCGCGAAGAGTCGGACTCGACTGTGCGACTGAACAACAACACCAAACCTCACAGGGTTATTGTGAGAATAAAACTAAAGGAAAGTAGAGAACAAAGTAAGTCACATTGGGTCCCTTATTGGGGAGAAAGACACTTTATGAATGAAGTATAGACAGACGGGCAGACAGATACACACACCGATCCACCCCTTTTCCTGCTAGCACCCCTTTAGAGAAAACAATGGGGTGGTTTTTGTCTTGTAACCCAGGCAGCAGCAGAAGAACTGAGCTTTAACGTACTGGGTTTGAGTTCTGGCTTCCTGCCTGCCCGCCCACCCCTGGCTCAAGCCTCCCGACAGGCAGGCAGGAACCAAGCTGCCCTTAGGGGGAACCTCTCTCTGCAACGGCGGAACTGGCCAACCCTACAGGGCTGTTGTAAGGAGGACTGTGCTGATATGTGAAGCGCTGTGCACCAGCTACCTGCAGAAAAGGGGGGGGACACTTGGGGCCAAGCTAGGCGGTGGAAGAGGTCACCCCGTCCCCGCTTTGTGTCTCCAAGCATTGGGCAAGAGGCCGGATATCAGAACGAGCCCCTTTAGCCAGGCTGACGGAGAGTCCCCCGTTCCGATTCTTTCTCGAAGGTAGCCAGACCTGTCCCAGGGGCTCCCCCTCAACTGGAGGCCGGATTCAGAAAACTGTAGGGCATGCCTATCCAAAGCCCCCCTCCCTCAAGCTGGACATGGACCCTCGGCAGAGTGCAGCCAATATGGGGCAGAAATCCCCCGCCCCCCGGAAAGGGAAGGAGAAGAGCGGGTGTGGATGAGAGTTTCTACAGTCCGCCTGTCTCGCCCGGACTCCAGATTATAAAACTTAAGAAACGACGCAGTGAAGCGTTTTGCATTTCCAGCCCAAGGTCCAGGAAGGAGGAGGAGGATTGGATTTATACCCCGCCCTTCACTCAGAGTCTTAGAGCGTCTTACAATCTCCTTTCCCTTCTACACAACCGGCCCTCCGGGAGGTCGGTGGGGCTGAGAGAGCTCGTTTGAGGACTGCTCTTGAGAAAACAGCTCTGAGAGACCTTGTGACTGACCCAAGGTCACACCTGCAGCTGCAAGTGGAGGAGTGGGGACTCAAACCCGGTTCTCCCAGATTAGAGTCCTCACACTTAACCATGACACCAAACAGGAGGACTAGAGATTATCTCAATCCGCAGGAGGTGTCGCCAGGCGGGAGAAAGAAACAACGGCCCCCTCTCCCCCCAAAAAAACACCTAGGCTAGCGCCACCCTTTATCAGACCAACAAGCAGGTAGATCCGGTTTGGCAGCTGCCGGACACGGCTATTTGCCCAAAGGGCTTTTGACAAACAGTGACGGGGCCGCCAGCGATGTCTGCGGCATGCGCCAGAGGCTTTGCTTTGGCTTGGCGTCCTCCTCCATTAGTTTTTCTGATCTCCTCGCCCTGGCCCTTTGTGTGGCATTCACTTCCACGGAAAGACCAAGTAACCGACGGAGCTTGCTATCGTGCACGGCGTTTTCTCTCTTCCTGTGGTTACCGCATACCCAGAGAATCTATTTCCTAATTTGTTGTTCTAATTTCACATGTACTTCCACCCCCCCATGAACGTTGGAGGATTGTTCAGCAATGAAAGGTACTAGTGAGCAATGCTCCCTCTAAGCTGTGGAGTCTTGTGAGCAAAAATTCTACTTTCTGAGCTACTAGCATTACAGTTGTGAGCCACAAGCGATTTGGCTCCTGCATAGATTAAGTTTGCTCTGGAGCCATCCTTACTGAGCTAAGACAAAAATGTGTGAGCCGGAGGCTAGAAAACTGAGCAAGCTCATACTAACTCAGCTTAGAGGGAACACTGCTAGTGAGAATAGGGCGGCGGTAGACAGCAGGGCCATATTTGGCCCCGAAATTCCACTTGTGGCACTGGTTTGCATGCACACAAGACCCTCGGGCGCAATCCCCAGCCTCACTGCTTCAACACTCCCAGGTTTTCTCAAGAGGTGCCGAGAAAGACCTTTCTCTGGTCGAGCCGGTTGCCAGTCAGAGTAGACAAAACCAAGCCAGACACACCAATGGTCTGACTCAGGAAAGGGCAACCTTGTCTTAAAAGGTAAAGGTAAAGGTTCCCTTGCTCGAAAGCCAGTCGAGTCCGACTCTAGGGTTGCGGTGCTCATCTCTGTTTCAAAGCCGAAGAGCCAGCACTGTCCGAAGACGTTTCCATGGTCATGTGGCCGGCATGACTAAACACCAAGGCGCACGGAACGCTGTTACCTTCCCACCGAAGTGGTACCTATTTATCTACTTGCAATGTCTTGCTTTCGAACTGCTAGGTTGGCAGGAGCTGGAACTACAGACGGGAGCTCACCCCGTCATGCGGCACCCGGGTCTCGAACTGCTGAACTGCTGACTTTCCACAGCCTGCAGTTCAGAGTCTTAACCACTTGAGCCACTTGAACCTT